CAGGAATGCAACTATACGAGTCTTTTCCGACATTTTCAATCTCCTGTTTCAGAATTTCTTTAGGCTATCACCAGGATTTTGCTTTGCTGATGGACTTGCATCACTGGCTCTTTTGCGGCAAGGGGTGAAAGATAAATCTAGTGATGAGGCTTTTGATTGGAACGTTACTGGTGCCTCTATTTGCTACCTTGGTGTGGAGGTTCATATATTTCTCTCTCTCTCTCTCTCTCTTGTTGAAACTCATCTGAATTAATTGCCATTTTCAATTTTAGTTACTGAGAATTAAATGTTTTACTTCATATAAAATGATGCAAAAGAGCTGTAGCATCTCTTCTTAAACTAATTGTTGTTTAGGTTTTCTTTTATGTCAAACTGTTTCCTTCCTATTTACAGGACAGCACGGTCAAACCTTAAATTGGATTTCAGCATAGTATTTGCCTCTTTTGAAATAGTATATAGCCAATGTGAAATTGTAAATTATAAGCCATATGTGTCATGCTGCTTATTTGCGGTTGCTGTATGAAAAGAATGATATGCAATTTGGAAAGAGAAAATAACATAAAAAATTTGATAAAAGAATCTACTTTTTCTTAATAAATTAAAATTTAGTTTCTTCATAACGAAGTCACTTTATTTAGAAAGTCATGTAACATGGAGGAAATATGAGACAAAACAAAATATATAATCTGTTGCACTTCCTAAACAAAAGAAGTTACAAGTTTTCGTAAGCAAGTTTGAAAAGGGCTAACTTAATCTGACTTACTCATGAGAACTTACAAGTTTAGTAAATCAAGTTTGAAATGCCATTACTATAATCTAAGTTTGATTTTTCACCTGTTACAGTGCATTTGTTACTTTCTCTTGACACTTGGGCTTGAAATCTTTCCTTCTCACAAACTGAGCCTAGCCACACTCAAGGAGTGGAGTCTTAAAATTTTCCATTGGGGTGGTTCTTCATCTTATTTAGAACCTCTTTTAGGATCTCCCTCAGAAGCTGTCGCTCTTGATTTTGACGAAGACATAGATGTAAGAACTGAAAGAAACAGGGTACTTTCAGGTTCCGTAGAGAATGCTATCATCTACTTGCATAATCTTCGAAAGGTAATTTCTCATATTGTTTGCATAAATATTACATGTAGTTGAAGTTCAGTTCTATAATGCGAATTTCTTTACAGTCTGTTACCGTATTATCTACTTTCTTTCCAATTTCAGGTGTACCCTGGAGATAAAAATCGTGGTAGAAAAGTTGCAGTGCATTCTTTGACTTTCTCGGTTCAAGAGGGGGAATGCTTTGGCTTTTTAGGAACAAATGGAGCAGGAAAGACGACTACTCTGTCAATGCTTTCTGGTATGTGTCAGTTTTGCAGTAAGATTTTGATATTTATTTGTATGCAACCAATTCTGCTGTAAGAATCTTGTATATTATTTGTAAAACATTCGACATGCATAATCCAATGCTAATCCTTTTCTCCTCAATGGTAAATTATTATCTCTATTTAGTCTTTCACTTTAAAAGAAACTCTTGGAATATTTTGGAGTCGGGTTTTATTTCTTGATGTCAAATAAATGCCATTATGTCGGATTTTGATATTCCCTACTTAAATTTTAAATTTCTACAGCCTTCTATCCTTAACATAGTGTATGAATGTGTGGTTGATATAACTGTAGGTGAGGAATCTCCGACAGATGGAACTGCTTACATATTTGGCAGAGATATAGGCTCCAATCCTAAGGCAGTTCGCCGGCATGTATGTTGTGAATATTGCGATTTCCTTTTCCTATACTGAATGCAGATTGTTCCTCAAAGTCATACTGCAAGGACCTAGCTAACTCTTTATAATTCAATTTCAGATTGGATTTTGCCCACAGTTTGATGCTTTACTAGAGTATTTGACCGTCCAGGAGCATCTTGAGCTTTATGCAAGAATTAAGGGAGTTCCAGATTACCAGATAGATTATGTATGTTTTCACTACAAAAGTCATACTCTCTTTCTTGTAATAGCAGGAAGATTAACTTAGATGTTTAACAGAGAACATCATTTTTCTGCATACGGAATATTTGGGTATTGAAATTGTGTATTTATTTTAATGATCAAAAGGTGGACCCTTTATGCATGTTAATCTGGTCAGGTGGTGATGGAAAAGCTAGAGGAATTTGACTTGTTGAAGCATGCTAACAAACCATCATTCTCTTTAAGTGGAGGAAACAAGCGCAAATTGTCTGTGGCAATTGCAATGATTGGAGATCCTCCTATAGTCATTCTGGATGAGCCATCTACAGGTATATTAGCGGATTTGGTTTTGCTGAACACGCGCAATAGTTTATATACACACAAGGAATAGTTTATATGTACACAAGGAAACTGCATCATGGGCAAAATTCGTGGATTCAATTGGTCTTTCTTTTCTTTTCGTTTCTCCTTTTTTTTTTTGATCGATTCAATTGGTCTTATAAACTATGTATACTGCCTAGTTGAGCTTGTTGATTAAACTCGGCCACTAAAATTATACGGTCTTCTTGAAGTATGTGTTTCAACATTGCGGATCACCTCCAACTTCATAATGCTTGGAGACTAATTCTTCCAATCTTCTATCTTCCAAACCCTTTTTAGTTGTAGTGGATATAGAGCGCAATCTTTAGCGACCACTATCTCCTGCTCATCTTTTCATTTAACGACCTCCCAAAATATCACATGCTTACCTTTTTATTATTGACCTGCGCGGAAGTGCAAATATATTTTCCCTACCCCGGCATTCAGGAAGATGTGCAGTCCATTTGAATGCATGGTTTCTCCTATGTATCCATTGTTTTTCAACAAGATGAAATGATTCAAAGATTTTCCGATTATCATTATTAGGTATGGATCCAATCGCAAAACGTTTCATGTGGGAAGTGATATCCCGAATATCAACCAGACGAGGAAAGACAGCTGTAATTCTTACTACCCATAGCATGGATGAAGCTCAAGCACTGTGCACAAGGATCGGGATAATGGTAACAATTTACTCTACTTATTTGATGCTTGAAGCACTGGTTAGTGCCAATTGCCAGCTAATGCTTGCCCTTTGCCCCCCTTTTACTTCCTTTTTCTTGACTTGGAGGTTGGAGGCCGATTAAGATGCATTGGAAGTCCACAGCATCTGAAAACAAGATTTGGAAACCATCTGGAGTTAGAGGTATCTCTTTTATTTTAAGTTTCCTTTTGATACAAGGTAGCATTATGCCATAATCTATGTAATCCAATATCATGCTTAAAATTTATGATTCTCTGCGCTCCTGTTCTTAGATTAAACCTATTGAAGTCAGCAATGTGGAGATGGAAAACCTTTGCCGATTCATTCAAGGAAAGCTTTTTGACATTCCTTCTCAACCTAGGAGTTTACTTAACGACCTTGAAGTTTGCGTTGGGGGCATCGACTCCATTACATCAGAAAATGCATCCTTTGCAGAGATTAGCTTGTCAAAGGAAATGATAACAATGATTGGCCAGTGGCTTGGGAACGAAGAAAGAATTCAGATGCTCATCTTGTCGATACCTGTTCCTGATGGATTTTTTGGTGAACAATTATGCGAGCAATTGGTTCGAGATGGTATGAGAGATTATTTGCATCTATTGTTATTTTCTTTCTACCTTGACTTGATATGGTGTCATTTATCTTTCCAAACTTGTGCTAGTTTTCTTGAGAAGCTCAGGAGTTCGCCTAGAAAATCTAGTTACTATAAATCTCTTTTGCTAGCTACTTGAATCAAGGTCACTAAATTATTCAACCAAAAAAAAAAAAAAAATCAATGTCGTTAATTTTTATCTATTGCTAGTAGGATATAGAATGCTTTAATTACTTCTGGAGTTTTCAATTGGTTGAACACCCTAGTCTAAGAAACTTCTGGTTACATTTGGCAGTGAAAAGCTATTGATGGTATAGTGTCATTTGCTATTAATTGTATTCACACCATCCAACTATGGCTTCTTCAGTTATTCTCTCTATATGTTAGTAGGATGCGTTGATAACAAAATACTTATTGTTCAGTCGCCTTTTCTCTTTCAGCGGTTATATTGATGTATTTTATTTTGTACTCAGTTTATTATCGTATTTATGGATCACATTTCAATGCCTTCTCCCATAATTTTAATTGGGAGAATGTAATAAATAGCAAATTTATGAAACTATATGAGGTAAATAGCAGATTTTAAAGTTATTTAAAGTAAATACCAGTTTATGCATAAATGTTTCATTTACGAATAGTAAAAGGATTTTTTCCACATAAGTTTTATTGTTATGACAATTTTTTTTTTTTACTTTAATAAAGATTTTTTTACCACGTAAAATATTTTACTAGTGGTAAATGAAACATTAAACATTAGACGGTAAACTGTTATTTACTTTAAATAGTTTTAAAATCTACTATTTATTTAATTTAGTTTAAAAAATATGCTATTTACCATTCCGTTTTAAAATAATTGTATGTTAATTTCACGTATCTGATCCTCTTGAGTTTTCAGGTGGTATCCCATTGCCTATATTTTCTGAATGGTGGTTATCCAAAGAAAAGTTTTCAGCAATTGATTCATTTGTCCTCTCTTCATTTCCTGGTGCAATTTTCGACGGGTGCAATGGATTGAGTGTCAAGTATCAGGTACAATTTAGGAAATATCCAGATGTTTGTGACTGTATTTATATTGTAATTATATTGTTTTATTTTTGTCTGTAAAACAAATATATACACAACATTTTTTTTTCCGTTATACCTGTGTAGTTAATATGTTAATTTATCTGGAACTTTACTGCAGTTGCCGTACAGAGAAGATCTGTCGCTAGCAGATGTCTTTGGACACCTGGAACGGAACAGGTACAATTCAGTGCCACATTTCTCCTTCTTGTTCAACAATTTCTTTTTTACCGGTTGCAGAAAAAAAAAAGGGTACATTTGTGGTAGAGAAAACTATTTTGCTCCATTGATAGGTACTGTATTTTAGTATTTGGATTAGTTTTTAATGGTCTGATTTCAAGTAGGGGCAGTTCTGTTGTGTCTTGCGTTGCAAATTTTCAGTGGGGGCTAATCCAACGGTTAAATATAGCAGTTTCTGCTGGTCGAGAAAAAGTGCATGTCCTGCCATAAAAATTCCCAAAAAGTAGGAAAAAGAATACCTTTCATTGTTAGACTGACTTGGTACATTTTGCAATTTCTTGTTCAGAAATCAACTTGGGATAGCGGAATACAGTCTCAGCCAGTCCAATCTACAAACCATATTTAATCATTTTGCGGCATACCCACAACATGTTGAGACGTAAGTTTTCTTGCACTCTATACCATATAACAAATCAACAACTCACAGCAGCGTCTCCCTTGCTCATTTTTTTTGCTAAAAAAGGTTGAGACCTTAGTTTTGTTATAAATATCACAAACCCATTGTACATAGCTAAAAGTTACACCATTTCCACCAAATAAATAAATTAAAGTTACAGCATTTTTTTTAATAAATGGAAGTTGTTAATTCCTGTAATATGATACTTTGGTAGTCGTCGTCTTATCTTTAATAAAGCATGTTAAATAACTGCAATATTGTAGTGCTAATTCTTTCTCTATACATTGAAGAGTTTTATGTATTTTATTTATTTATCTTTTTTGTTTGTACGTTGACGATAGCTTGGTGGTCAAATCCTTGGAAAAGTTTAACAATTGCTTGTTTGTTCATTTGGTATCTCTTTAGATTAATTTTCGTGCACTTTGTCCATTACACTGCTCATTCTCTCCGACCAAACATACTCTTTTAAGGTTGAGCAGACACATCAGGGTTCGTTTAGTACGAGGATTCAAATTAAGGTGATTCTAACTATGATTCTGGAATCAGAATAATAATTCATGATTTTGGGTTCAAATCATGATTTTGAAACTATAATTTAAAATCAGGAGTTTGAATCACCTTGAATCAAGAGGGGGATGGTTTTAAAATCATGATTTGAACTAGTTTAAAACATCACATCAAATTCTAAATCATGATTCAGAATCATCCAAACAAAATACTGATTCTGAATCATAATTCAGAATCACCGTAAACAAACACTGATTCTGAACCAGGATCTAAAATTATGATTCTGGATCTATCTAATGTTTGGTTCACAGATTCTGAACTAGAATCATAATTCAGAACCATTCTCGATTTATGTGTATTTTTTGTGAGAGAAAATACTTGTGAATTACAAACATGATTCGAATCATAGTACGAATCCTCACAAGTCACTTTTTGTGGTCTGGTTACTTTGTCTAGTGATTTAGTTTGAGGGTCCAACTTCCTCTTAACCGAATGCCAACGGTGGCATTTAGTTTACGGTTTGTAAATTTTTTTGAAACAGCAATTGCGTTTTCCCATATTGATGGGGAAATTCTATAATTTGTAAACAAGTTTTTCATGCAATGTTGATGATGAAACGTACTGAATATTGCATATGTGTGCGGGAGTGTTCTACATAAGTATTTAAGAATCATTTTTTTCATACTCTACGTCTATACCAACTGTTGAACTATACTAATACACGAGGTGAAGTTCAGATGCTATTTTGACATTATATATATAATGAATAATGGAGGAATTACTCTTAAACATAAAATTCACACTTTATGGAGTACTCTCGAAGCCATGGTTGTGTGGTTGAACAACAATCTAGAGCATGTGAAAGAGAGGACCTCTTATTGCCCTAACATTTGCGCTGAAGATCTCAATCTACGTCTAGTAATTAATCAGGGGATTTACTCAATAATTCTCAGTCACTTTTAATTAGGGAATTTTTGTCTTTGTTGGAAACTCAGACAGAAAAAAAAAAAGAAGGAAACAAATGAATGGATACTGATCTTCTTCTTCAATATCACCAAATATTAACAAAAATTAATTTTTTTGTCATCATCTTCCCTATGACTTTTGTTAAAAATTGGACCATGATCAAATCCTTCATTTTCTTCTACATCTTTATTTTCATCATAGATTGGACCAAGATTGAAATTTTGATTTTGATCCTATCCTTTTTTTTCCTTTATTTTTGTCAAAAACGGGCATCGGTGGTAGTACGACTATAGGTGCAACGGTGATTGAATGTGATGAAATTGGTATATAGGAACGTCTAGGCTTTTGATACCAACTGATGGAGCGAACGCGTAATAAAAATAAGAAAAGAGGATAAATTACGAGATATGTTAATTCACGCAGAATATCGAAAATAAGACTTCTATACACATGTTGATTCACTCAAGAATTCTAAGAAAATAGGCATGAGGCATCAATCATTTGTTGATTCCATGGAATACTGAGAATAAGTGAGAAAGAGAGACAGAGAATAAACTCTAGTTTTTATTAATTACTGAATTGTCAAATAATAATCCTCTTAAATAAACAACTGGAAATCAAAATAAAGAAAACTAATTATATCTCAGTTTCGAAAGTACTCGTATTCTAAAAAGGGAAAGAATAAAATAGAGAAATAAAGTTAAAATAAGAAATTTGAATGCTAATCTTCGAAATTCTGGCATTAGGAGAATATCTGTCATCCAATTCTAATTCACTTGCACATGTTGATCAATTCTCCACTAAATAGGCTGCATCAAAATCTCACTCCTTTCTCCATCTCAATTTTAACAATCTAACTCTATAATGCTTTGCGTGCTCATAAAAAACTGAGTGATATGTGCATGGTTGTCTGATTCTCACACTGCATCTTTGCCACTCCCAAATCAGTAACTCGGCAAATTTTGAAGGAGATTCCTCAACCAAGTGAACTCACAAATGAGGGATATGCCATAGCTCTATACTTTGCTGCTGCTGGCCTTGAGCGAGACATGGTAGTTTGCTTCTTGGTTTTCCAAAAAAAGGAAAAAAAAAAAAAAAAAAAAAAAAACAGAAGGGAGGTGGGCGCTGAAGCACGCATCCCTAGGAGTAGAAGCACAGTCGAGCAAACAAAAAAAAAAATGAAAGAGAGAGAGAGAGAGTATGGTGAAGACCAGAAATGTTGGTTTGAGGCTCTGAGCAAAAGAATTAGAATGTGTTAGGAGAGTAAGAAAACAACTGAGAAACTAGAGAAAAAACGAATTTCAATAGTAAATAACGGATTAGTTACTTTTAAAACGAATTTCAATAAAGTAACGGTTGAACAGAGAAACATATAGATCCAAATTCATAAATTTATTATAGTGAAATTTTAAGTGCTTTTTTTATGGTTTGTTTTTGGATCATTCTCACAGGCCCATCTGAATTTATAGGTCATTTTCTTTTTGATCGACGCATTTTAAAAATTCTTATTTTATCTCTTAAATTTTAAATTAATTTCACTTAATTTTTTTATAAGAATTTTTGTTAAAAATATAGACGGAATAAAGGAGATAGTGCGATTATGTACTCTTTCTGTTAGAATTTTTTATTAAAAATAAATAGAAAAATACCACATGACGACATTTGACTCCATCTTTTTCCCTCTAATTTAACAAAAATTCTAACAAAGGAGTTCTAGTGGGACTAATTTAAAATTTAAAGGACAATGTGAGAGTTTTAAAATTTGAGGAGAAAATTAAGAATGATCCTGAGAACCAATTGTTTTTGAGTACTAAGGGACTTTTTTCATGTATAATTTAAATTTAAATGCCACATATTGAAAATTTGTGTGAAACAAGTAACAATTTTTGACAATAGGGCCATAATTAAATTATTGAAGAAGGTTTCTGAAAAAATCGTCATTAAATGTATGACTTTTAATGACGGTTTTTATGGAAGCTGTTGTTAATACTGGTACATTTAACGACGTTTTCTATAGAAACCGTCATTAAATGTCTCTCAAAAAAACTTTTTACCTGAATTTTATTTTCTAAAGTTCTTGAATTTCGGTGGTCATGTGGTGATGACGACAAACGTAGAGAGGAGGTGAAGCAACAGTGGTAGGCACGGTCGTTGGGTCATGGCAGCTATCATGATGACGATTGATGGAGTAAGGATTGAGGAGTAAGAGTGATAACTCTATTAAAAGTAGAGTTATTTTACTGTTTTTGTGCATTTAAAGTGGCTAATTTTTGAGATTTTTAACTTATTTTATTTTATTTTACTTTATTTTAAATTTTAATAAATTTACTTTTCATTTTAGATTTATTTTATTTTATTTTAGTCTATTTAGTTTAGTTATAGTAATTTTTATTTTATTTTCCCTTCTAAAATAATTAGTTTCCTCATTTATGTAACTAATTTGATGACAAGTGGGCTTCATTGCAAAATTTTGAATTGAAATGGGGTCAAAATGTAAAGAAACAAATCAGAAATTGAAAATATAATTCGGACCAAACAAAGCCCAATCTGGAGAGTAGAAAAAGAAGCTCAATTCGCATTTGTAGCCCTCAGATCCGTACCACCAATGGTCCAGATCGCGAGTGTCGTCCACTCTCCTCTTCACGTGTTTGAACAGACAAAGCTGTAGCACTTTGCTCAATCTCCACATGCCATGGGGCGAGCTTGTCTCCCACCTTGTCCTAGCCCCCAATCCGCCGCAGCCACGTGTCCACCACTAAGAGAGCCCTAGCTTGGCTCTCTTTCTTGTGCTCTGCATTAGAGGTGTCAAATGGGCCATATGGGGTCGACACGACCCTTCTCACCCCAAGCCCGCCACGAGCCTGGGCCGGGCTAGGCACGACCCTGAGGGAAAGAAAAAAGAGAGGAAATAAGGCATTTTCAAGCCAAATTGAGAGGAGAAAACTACTAAAATATATATACATATTTTCATTTCTTCTGTTCTAGGATTTCAATTCTAGCTTTAGATTTAGGTTTTATTTTCAATAAATTATCATGGAAGAAAGCATAGATCAATGAAGTAGGAGAAGAGAAGAAGAAGAAGAATTTGGAGATTGTGACAACTCTAAAATGGGGGGTTTTTTTTTTCCTATTCTCACCTTATTTTTGTTATTTGTGAATGATGGAACCCATGATTTAGCTTGTTTAAGGCTTTGTTCATTTCATGACTCAAGTCATATTACTACAGTGTTTTCTCTAACATAAATTCAAATTAAACATTTTTGCTGCAATATTTTTCTCTCATATCACAACCCAAGTCATGACTTAAGTTGTGCAAATGAGCACACCTTAATATTAGTTATAGAGTAGTTGTTATTTCCAGAGCTTGATTTTGCCTAATTATGAAATGTTTATTTACTTTAAGTAATTTCTTGGTTTCTTTGTGTTGTCCCATTCTTAATGCTTCTAATTTGTCGGGAAATATATTAGATGATTTGATGTATGAGTTCGGCACTCGGGATAGGTAATTTATACGTCCGATTTGGATAACACAGTTGGGATTGGTGTCCTTAAGCATCAGATGTAACAAGGATATTTTATTATTTGATTAATAAAATAGTCTATTCATTATTTATGTGCATGTATTATTGAATACTTTATGAATATCATAGAAAATTCCACGATTATTTATGTAACCTTAAATATTATATATAAGTGTTATATACGAGAGGATAATATTTAAGGATATAATAATCAAAACGATTTTCGTAATGAATTTAA